GTGGGGCCGGCCCCGCAGCCCTGCCGCGGAGCGGCCCCCGCAGCCCCGGCCCTCCTCCAACTCGGCCTCCTCGTCCTCATCCTCGCCCGCGCCCGCCAGCGGCGGCGAGTGCTGCAGCCCCTCGCCGTGGGCGGGCGCCGGCGCTGGGACGCAGCCGGGCGAGGGCGGCTCGATGGCGGTGCCCGCTGAGCACGGTGAGTCCCGCCGCGAGGCGGGGGGGTCGCCTTCACTGCCCCTACCCCGTGTGGAGCTGGGCTGAGACCTGCCCGACTCACTGCAGCAATGAGCTGCTCCTTGCAGCCTCGCTGCGGGGCTCCCGTGTGGCTCAGCACGGTGACACCACTGTCCCCTTGTCCCCTCTGTTCACCCCCACTTGTGCCCCCCAGATGCGCCCCCCGCGCGGGCCAGCGCAGCCCCCCGCGAGGTGCCGCTCGTGGCCCCCCCGCGCCGCTCCCGCACGAAGAGACCCGCGGCCGGGGCAGCCGTGGGCAGCAACACCGACCTGGTGCGTGGGCTCTGTGTATGGGGGGCGTCGGGGGGTGCCCCCTCAGCACCCCCTGATCGCCCCGGCCCCGCAGTCGCGCTCGCTGAGCCCCTCGCCCTCGTGGAGCTGCGGCCCGTCGCACTCGGCGCCCGCCAGCCTGGGCGAGCGCAGCTTCTTCGGCGTCTCCCAGCCGCCGCTCGGTGCGTCCCGCACATTGCGGGGGGTCTGCAGGAGGGTTGTGGGGGGGTCCCTCTGACCCCTGCGCCCCCCCCCGCCGCCAGGGCTGTCGCGGGGCCCCAGCCCGGTGGTGCTGGGCTCGCAGGACGCGCTGCCCGTGGCCGCGGCGTTCACCGAGTACGTCCACGCCTACTTCAAGGGCCGCGACGCCGACAGGTGGGCGCGCGGTGGGCGCGGGGGCTCCCGGCTGCGCCCCGGGCCCCGGTGACCCCGTCGCCGTCCCGCAGCTGCCTGGTGAAGGTCACGGGCGAGCTCACCATGTCCTTCCCCGCCGGCATCGTGCGCGTGTTCGGCGCCAGCGCGGCCCCGCCGGTGCTCAGCTTCCGCCTGCTCAACGCGGGCGCCATCGAGCAGTTCGTGCCCAACGCCGAGCTGCTCTACAGGTTGGCGCGACGGAGGGGCCCCGTCCTCGGAGCCGTTGCCCCGCGAGCAGGGAAATGGGGCCGGCAGCCCCTGAGGGAGCCGAGGGACCCGCTGGGAGCTGGGGGATGGGGTGTGTGGGTTGCACAGGGGCAGGTGAAGGAGGAAATGGGGAGCTGGGAATGGGAATGGGGAGCTGGGAATGGGGTGCGTGAGAGCGGGTGAAGGTGCTGGGATGCATGGGGTGCATGGAGTGAGTGGAGGAGGTTGTGAGGAGCTGGGGACGGGGTGCATGGGGTGCTCCGTGGGAGCAGGTCAAGATAGTGGGGAGCTGGGAATGGGGTGTATGGAGAGAGCAGGTGAGGGTGGGGCAAGGAGCTGAGGATGGGGGGGGACAGGGTGCACGGGAGAAGGCAAAGGTGGTGGGGAGAGGATGCGCGGGGCGCTCGGGGTGCACGGGAGCGGGTAAAGGCAGCAGGGAGAGGGTGGGGATGGGGTGCATGGGGGTGGGGGAAGGCGCTGGGGTGCACGGGGTGCGGGTGAAGGGGGCTGTCGGCGTCCCCGCTCTGAGCCCCGTCCCGCAGCGACCCGTCGCAGAGCGACCCCAGCACCAAGGACTTCTGGCTGAACATGGCAGCGCTCACGGGGCACCTGCAGAGGCAGGCGGAGCAGAGCCCGGCAGCCTCCTACTACAACGTGGCGCTGCTCAAGTACCAGGTGAGCCCCGGGGCGGCGGCGGCGGCCGCGGCGGTGTCGGCGGCTGCCCGGTCCCCACGGAGCCGGCGTCCCCGCAGTTCTCCAAGCCGGGCGCGCGCTCGGCGCCGCTGCAGCTCTGCGCGCGCTGGGACTGCGCGCCGGGCGCCACGCGCGTCACCGTGGAGTACGGCTACAACGCGGGCGCCCTGGCCGTGCCCGTGCCCCTGGCCAACGTGCAGGTGCTGCTGCCCGTGGAGGAGCCCGTCACCAACGTGCGGCTGCAGCCTGCGGCCAGCTGGTGAGCGGCAGCGGGGGGGACCCCCCCGGACCTCCAAAACAACCCTGTACTGGAGAGGGTCCTGGGCTGGGGCATGGCAGGGATGCCTAGGGAATGTGCGGGTGGGACAGGGCTCGGGGTTTGTCCGAGGTGTTGGATAGAATGGAGCTGGGGGATTGGGGTTGCCTGGGGGGGTTCAGGTTGGAGTTGGGGGCTTCAGCATTGCCTGGAGACATTGGGATGGAGCTGAAGGGGTGGATGTGGGGGTGACTGGGGGGATTCAGAATGGATCTGAGGGGCCTTGGGGCTGCCTAAGGGTCTCGGGATGGAGCTTGAGGGGAGTGGGCTGCCTGGGGGTCTTGGGATGGATCTGGGGGGTTTGGGGCTGCCGGGGGGTCTCAGCCCGGCCCCTTGCTTGTGTTGCAGGAACCTGGAGGAGAAGCGGCTGCTCTGGCGGCTGCTGGACATCCCTGGGGCACCGGGCCAGGGAGGTGAGGCTGGGGGGCGCACGGGGAGGCTGGGGGGGCTGCCCCCGCCGCGGGGGTCCCGCCGTCCCCTGCAGCCCCCGCTCGCCCCCAGGCTGCGGCCGCCTCTCGGCCAGCTGGGAGCCCCTGTGCGGGCCCAGCAAGCCCAGCCCGGTGGCGGCCCAGTTCAGCAGCGAGGGCAGCACCGTGTCGGGCGTCGAGGTGGAGCTCGCGGGCGCCGGCTACCGCATGTCGCTGGTCAAGAAGAGGTTTGCGACAGGTACCGGGGCGCGCAGGGCGCTCTGCCGTGGCCTGGGGTGCGCTGGGGCCCTTCCCTGGGTGCGCAGGGGCCCCCACGTCCCTGATGTGGATGAGGTCCCTCTCCATAGTCCTGGGATGCCCAGGGTCCCTTCCCTGGGTACACAGGGTCCCTTCCCATAGCCCCGGGTGCACCAGGACCCTTCCCTGGGATGCAGTATTTTCCTGTAGCTCTGGGGCACACAGTGATCTTCCCATAGCCCTGGTGTGCACAAGGTCACTTCCATAGCCCTGGGGTGCCCAGAGTCCCTTTCCTGGGTGCAAAGGGTCCCTTCCCACAGCCCTGGGTGCACAAAGACCCTTCCCTGGGATGCACAGCGTACTTTCCCTTAGCCCTGGGGCACGCAACAATCTTCCCATAGCCCTGGGGTGTCCAGGTCCCTTCCTGGCTCCCCTTTCCACTTGCTGCAGCCGGCTCAGTGCCGGGGCCACCTGCATGGGGCGCCGGCCCCCTCCTTGTCCCCTTGCTCCCGCAGGGATTTACCTGGCCGGCTCCTGAGCGCCGCCTGCCCCGGCATGTGCGGGGCGGCCCCGTGGCTCTTGCAACGCGACACGCGGGCCGGAGGCTGCTCGGGGAGCGGGTGCTGCCGGCCCGGCAACGTGCCGGCCGGGGAAGGGCCCTGCTCCCCACCCTCCTCGTCCTCCTGTGCTCGCCGTGCCCGTAGCCGTCATCTCCTGCTGGCTGGAGGATGGTGCCCCCGTCCTCCCCTGTGCTGTGAAGGGAGCAGGAGCTGCTCTTTTATTAAACACTTTATTTTCTAATAACCGCCCCCCGCCGCTGCCTCCTGCCTGTGTTGCTTGTGGCTCCGGGAGCGTCGGGGACGGTGCCACCCCCCCGGGCACCTCCCTGGCAACGTGGTGGCTCCCATGGGTGCCCTGGGCACCCGCCACACTCTCTGGTGACGCGAGGACGCAGAAGGGAGGGGACTGGGACCTGTTGGTGGCCCTGGGCCGCTCTGGATGCTCGGCGGGGCGGGGGCAGGTGGCACCTGCCCCGGGGGAGGATCGCGGCGCGCGCGCAGCCGCGGCATTCCCAGCACCGGAGAGGCCGGCACCACGCGGCGATGGGCC